TTCCACCAATCCTTCCTGACCCAAAAGGAACCAGGTTGCCCAGAGCAGGACCATTGACTGACACTCAGAGGATGCAATAAGGGTGGAGAAATAAGCCTTTTTCACTGCCCGTATCACAAGACAGACTCTAACAAAGCCTCTTCCTGTGTCCAGGCAGATTCACTCCTAATTTTCAGTATGAGTAAGAAATAACTCAAAGAAGATATATGGAGGTCTGTGTATAGTGAAAATTAGTAGAGGAGACATCAAGAACAAAGATACTGTTTGGATTCTGGGAGCTGACGCTTATGCCTCTGAAGCTGATGTGAAGGAATAGTTAATGCCTGGCAAGAAGCTCTGAAATACTGCAATAGGTTCTATCCACCTGAAAAAAATACCGAATTTAATCAAAGTGTCAACAAGCGCATGGGTGGTAATGAGAAGAAAATAAATAAAATTGCTACAGGTCCCATTTGTGGGCTGTTGATCAAAGCTTTTGAACACTACCCAGGTATCATCAGTTTTACCACTAAATAAGCCATCCTTGTGAAATGGAAGGCCTTCAATTCTAGCTTTAGCCTCCAATGAGAGGCTAATGGAATGGAGCCAAGGATAGTGACACAAAGCAATGGAAAACAGCATAGTTTTTGGCTGCTGAAATTAGCTGCATGAAAAATTATGTTTAATTCCTGCTTGGCAAAATGAATTGCTTCATTCTGAAAAAAATTGTCTCTTGTCCTCTGACAAATAGGAGAGTAAAGGCTGTATCTTCTGACACACACACACACACACACACACTCAAAAATTGTACTCTACCTATCTATCTATCTATCTGTCTGTCTGTCTACCTGTCTGTCTACCTATCTGTCTGTCTACCTACCTACCTACCTTCCATATTTATATAGCCACCCATCTCACACTTTTCAATCAGGCTTAAAAGTTTGTCATGCAAACTTCTGTCTTCAGGGCTGAAAGCATGGAAAAGAGGCTTTAAAAAATAGATACTGGTATTTTTTTGCTCTACTATCTCAGACTAGGGTTCCCAAACTTTTTCAGGTTGCAGAACCTGTTATAGTTTTAAAAAAATTCTGGAAAGCTTGCTGCCTGTCTCTCATGATGAATCATCATGAGCACAAATGCAGAATGGGGGTCCGAGTATTAGCTGATAAGCCCTGCCCTTTCCGCTATACCTTGAAAAAAGTGCATTTCAGTAATTTTTTAAAATTGTCATTAGTCTCTCACTGAACCCCATGAAATGTGTTTATTTAATTAATTCAATTTAGGCACTGCCTGACTCCAGCTGTTCACAATATATTAACAGACACACACACACACACAGACTAGCTAATTTAGGACATATTGATAAACTACCCTACCAGAGAACAAATAAAACTAATTAAAAGTTCTAAAAGATCATCCTTATTCTGAAGATCCTTTACGATTTCTGAGTCCTCATCTTGTTACATATTGGTTACCATGGTAAGAAAACAATCTCTGATTGGTAAAGTACATATATATGCTATAAAGAACATAAAGAAAGGACAGAACATGTTTGATGAATTACATTTAACAGTTTGCAAGTATATTTATATCTGGCAAAGCACCTTTGAGAATTTGTAATTGTTATCCATATAGTATATTGTTTATTTTGGCTAAAATTCCTTGCTTTTGTTATTGTGCATAGTGTGTATATTGATACTACACACAAACACATATATCACTTACAATTGTTTGTGTATTTCAAATATCCAGAAAATATAATTTTAACAATTTTATATAATTTTATATAATTTTTGTATGGGAAAATCTGATACAAAAAAGTGACAAATGCACTAGTAACCACTGCAGAAAGGAGCTGGTAAAGTATTAAAAGCTACAACTGGACCACATAGTGGTAAGATAATTTTATTTTTTTAACATTTGAATTTAATTTTATATATGTACAAAAAAAAATTAAAAAACAATTTTTAAATTTCTTTCATGCTCCCAAGTCAAATAGTTACAGTGCTACAATAAGTCTCTGTATGTTACAGGACCGGGCCTCCCTTGTTATCATTTCTATACCCAAGAAATCATCTTCTTTACAACTTCATCTTAAAAAAAAGTCAGGCACTCCACAGTAGGTCTTTAATTCACCCTGTCATTCCCCAAACATATAAAAATCTTTGCATTATCACCATACAAAAAGCTCTTATATTTCTTCGGGTTAAAAAAATGGTCATATTGATTTGAAGATAAACAGATTTTAGGTAAGGCATATACTTTTTCTTCCTCCATCTGGGTAAAGAAGTTACCAGAAATGGAATCCAAAGCAACAAACACATTCTGCTTTCATGCCTACTACCTTAGAGCAATTCTGGGCATTTTTTTCCTTAGTATGGGGGCATTTTTAACTAATTTATCTTCGGCTCCAAGGCTGCAGGGGACATGCCAGTGACATGGCAAATTCTACATATCGTTAATTAACTCAAAGCCTTTTAAAAGTATTTTTGAGGGGAGGAAGTTCTTCAAATAAGTTTATTAAATGTACCAGAGTTAAACACGCTTACATTGGGGCATTTTTATGAAGGAGGAAATCGCACTACCAAAAATTTGCCATTTTGGCATTGTTCAATAAGATTTATACAAGCCTACATATTCTGCATGCTACTGACCAAAGTTTATGCTGTGACTTTTCATTTACTTTGTTTAGAAAGGATGCAAGTATATTTAAAATGAGATAACCTTGAGTGAAGAATCTTAGAGAAGAACCACCAGTCTTTGTAAGAGAAACTGTACAGAATGAAAGGCATGATCCAGCAAATGGCATGGAAAATTCCAAAAGGAACAACTCTTTCTGCATGATTTAAAATAGCAACTAAGAAGCAAAGAGTTAGGGAAATGTCAAAGAAAACGCTGAAATCAAGTAAATGTGTTGATTTCCAGAACTGGCCTAATTTCTAAAACTAGTACAGAAGTTAATCCCAAGCACATGACATAATGAACTCATTCATAAGCAAAGGAACAAATCAGGAATAAGAGGACCGGTTTGGGTATGGTATGACTGATTTAGAATGCTGTCTCACAGAAAAGAAGGTTCTATTTGCAACATGCCATCTCCACTTCTCATGCCCAGCACACTTCAGTATACTACAGCTTCATATTTTTCTAGACTGGCTTTTTATAGAGCACTACCTATGAGTTAAGAACATTCTTTTCTTTTCCAATCACTAAAAATCAATTAATAAAAGGTGCATAAATGTGTTTCAGCTCAATCTGGCTGAATTCCACTGTTTTTAAAATTCAGCATTACTCAGGCAGGAGGAGAACCACTGCGATGTGATGCCTTAGGCTTCTGATTTCTAGCAACTCAAAATAATCTTATGGTTATGTCAAAAACAGTTACAAGATTCACCATTTTAAGACCTTAGATACAGATAATGAGATAATTTGTATCAAAGCCAGGATCCAGACTGCTATAAAATAAGTAGTAAATTTAAAATTCTTTGTTCCTAAAATCCAGTAAGAAAGAGACTCAAACTGAGAAATGGTGGATCACTGGCAGGATCATTTTTGGGTTCCAGAAATACTGTATTGCTTCCAAATTGTTGGGTCAACGAAATAAGCTCTTCTGTTAATGTTCCATCCATTCCTTTCAGTCGTTACACACCACAGAGGGTATTTATTGCAAGACTGAGGTTGCAGCAACAACATTACTGCCCACACTGATGGTTGAAATAGAAATAAAAGTGAGCAAGAGTGAACTTTCACAACTAGTGATCAATAGCTGCAATGTTTTCTTCTCACCTAGTTGATTCTTCTCACATCATCCTATAAGCTTCAATAATCCTGGAGCATCTTTACCCTATATCCCTGCCAGCAAATAAGCTTTGTTACAACTGCAGAGTGTCCTCAAGCTGTAGATCTGAGTCTGCTATCAGAGGAAAAGCCACTGTGAAACTGCAAACTTTGCCTGCCAGGAAGAATCCTGACCCTATTTATCAATAAAACAAACTTCAAAAAGATTACTTTCTCATTATTGTAAGAAAGAACAGCCTGATTTAACTGTTATGAAGGAAAGAGAACTCTATTATGCTTTTTAGCAAGAGGTAAAACTGGTGAGTTGGATGGACATGTGGATGGTGGGGTTTTTTTTATTGTACAACTGTAACTTTTTAAAAACCATTAGGCCGTAATTTTACTCTAAAATGCCTGTTTTGCCTCTGAGGAGTATAGGAAGTGTGGCTGAAACCTTCAGTATTTTCATTTTGTTTAGGAAGAGTTTGAAAAGTTTAAGAAGCAAAAAGGGGCTTAAGAATTGTAACTTTATTATTTTTATTGCAAAAACTCAGTGAAAACATCAACTCTCAGCACTGAACTGGGGTTTTCAAAAACGAAGATGGAGGTAGAATGTGACCACAGTCTGCGGGTTGCCCATCACTGCTCTATTCCATTCCATTTTGAAGCCACTGGGCATCTTTTAGTTTCAGTGGATTTTTATCTGGAGGCCAGAAGTTGTCCCTTTTGGTTTTTTCACCCCCAAAAAAGATTTTTTTGTATTTTTGCAAACCTTGCTATCTCCATAAGCATGCTGATACCTCCAACTGCTTCTAAATTACCCTGTGCTGACCACAATCTGGTTGGCACTCTTTTGATACAGAAGAAGTGAGGCTGTTCAAGAAAGAAACACTCTGAAAGCTTTTTTTTAGTCACTTAAGCAGAAAGCATTTCCTATGCAGAAACATTCTGCTAATTCCCTCTCCCTCAATGTCTTTGTGCACGGCAGCAAACTGCTACTATTTGATTCTGATAACTTTTCAGAATAGCTCTGTGGAAACATGGAGGATTGCAGATGAGGAGAAAAATCTGTGCACTTTTCAGTCGTATCAACAAAATTATTTTTCTGAACATAGATAAATAATCCAGATTAGCAATTTGTGGGATGTTTCTGTTTATTGCTTGTGAAAATCAACACACAGACCTCAGTGCTGAAAATGTGCCCCCCTCCCAAAAGCACACACCACCATTTCAAATAGACTCACCTTAGTCCATGGATGTGCTTTAATCTGAGGAAATTTAAATTCAGTATAGTTTGGATTCATTTCTCTAATTTGTTCTCTTGTGGGAGTTCCAAGGACCTGGAAAATAAAAAGGATGAACTATTAAACATTTCTTCAAGAAAGGGATCACCATCCTTAACACACAATAAATTCACTGCAAAAAAATAGAAGTATAGATCTCAGTCCACGATGACATGCATCTTCATTTCCTTGTGCTTGTGTACATCAGAAAAAAAATCCGAGTATCAGAATTTTTTTTGCCACAAGACAAAAGGCAGAAACTGGTTTTCAAAGTAAATCAAACCAAACAATCAAAAACTACAGTAATCTTTATGACTCTGGCCGTGTACAGTAGAGTAAAATTACACCTACTATGTAGTTTTACTGTACTGTGAAGTAACAAAGATATAATTAACTACAACACATATAGAATGATGCACCAAAATTAACACTATACATTTTCTGTATTTTAAACTTAATTGTTTAAACACTATCTGAACTTTACATTCTGTAATATGTAATTATATATTCCATATGAAGTGTGACTATTTTTGACTTTTAAGATATGATTCAAATTCAATTGAAAACGTGTTTGAGGACAAAGATCATGAACTGATATTTAATCACTACTGATCCTTGATACTGAAACCATTATGATGTGTATTTCATGGTATTTCCCCTCTCTATTAGGAATTGAATCCACTTTGCAACTGCCCTTCCCCTGATATTTCTTATGACTAAATTATAAAACTGTTTTAAGAACTCTCACAGACATCACTGAATTAGCTTTTAAAAAATTAAGAATACTTTTTGCAGTATAACCAATATATATGACAATTTTACAGTAAAGTTTTGCTATTATACCACTTTTTAAATGGATTAAGGATATTTTTAAACAGATTAAATTATAATTAATGGATAACAGAGTGCTACCTTAAAGTTTACTATTCATCACTGCTTTCAAAAAGGCAGCTTAAAACAATAGGTTTGAAATCACATGTTATATTGGTAAGGAAGTTTCCTCCAGCATCCTCTTCACCAACTGTGTCTCATATCATTTCCACACCTTAAGTTCCAACTTTATTGCTTGAGCATTCCAAAATTGTTAGGCATATGTTCCTTTTTGATTATTTTTGTATTTCTTTTTGGTTCTGAAGGGGAGACTTGTGATTCCTCACCAAATTAACTCTTGGTAAATGCCTTCCAATCCTTAACTTGCAGTTATAGAAAGTTCCTGTCATGTCATGTCATGTCTAGTCACTCATTGGCAATTTAAATGTATATAAGAATATGAATAACCTTCCTTCATCCCACTAGCTAGGTATTGTGCTTTGTGCTTGGAAGTTTCTTTCCACCTACCCAAGCTACTGCCCCCCCCCCGCAATAATTCTAAAGCTACCTGCTATCACTGAGTTTCAACAAACCCTCTCTTTGTTCAAATATTCCAAGCTGTTTCCCCTGACTAACACAGTAGACGGATACGGAGGAAAACAACACGTGATAGCATACCCTCCCACAAGTGATTCCAGCCGGCAGAGATTCTGTGCCTATTAAGGGTTACAAAAACACTTCTGAGCTCAAAATGATGTTTCAAATGTTGTTCCACTGTTCTAATGTTTCAAGTTTTCTGATGGCATTCCCAAGAAGCATTTGTAAATGCTGCTACTGCTGAGCTTCAGTCACCTACCTCTTGACAGCCAACCAGTTGGACATAATAAAAAGAACACTGATTGTTTTAATAGTTAAATGTACTGCTGGGTTTTTTAAAAAAAAATTATTTTCTCCTATGGGGACGTTAGGGTTAATGAGTTATGTTATGTATTGTTATACATTCTGTCTCCTGTGCCTTCTTTATCAAATAGATTGCCAAACTTAAAATGTGTCAGGAAGACAATTGAAGCCAACACTACATAGGTGTATTTTTGCTGCTATTATGTTGTTTACTGACATATTTATTGAAGAAAATGTCAAGGTAAACACAAACGTTTACGGAATTAAAAAGTATTGGTTGCTTACCTGTAACTGGAGTTATTTTAAGTTGCCTTTTGTGGATTCACAGACTTGGATTTTGTGCCTGCACAGAGCCTGTTCAAAAACTTTTAGAGCTTACACATTTCTTGGCAGGAATCCTTCTGTTTAGGCATTCCATGTACGATTGGGAAAAAGGTAGAGAAAATGTCCAGTCCCAAGTGAAATGTGGAAGAAAGGAAATATCTGGATGAAAGGTACTTTATCCCAATAAAAGTTGAGCAACCACTGATCCTGATGCAACCCATATAACTCTCCCTCCTGGCAAGTTAATATCACAGCTGTAAAAAATGCGGTCCACCAGTCTGAAAAGCTCTGACGACCAAGTGAGATCATTAAAAAAAAATCAAGCGGGGACTGGTAACAATGTAGGTAACTAAAGGTGGGCCAAATCTTTCATAAAATGTGGATTAGAAAAAGAGAGATGTCAACAAAGTTACAATGCCATATTTGTTTCAGATGTAAGAGGAATGCCAAAACATGATGAACCTGATGCTGCAGAGGTCAAATGCTTTTTTCCCTTTTTACAGTCTGCAAAGAATCTCTGTTTAGCTGAGTAACAGTTGTACAGGGCTTCTGGCAGACAATGGGGACCTCATCTACCTTACTCCTAAGGAAAGGTAGGATTGAATCCTCGAAGAAATCAAGGTCCAGGCATTATATCTGCCTCTGATGGAGTAATATTAAGTCAGGATGTTTCAGGAGGTGAAGATAATCATGTGAGCCAGTTGTAACAGTACAGCAAACTATGGCTACTATGGCCATCACTAGATAAGAAAGACACATTTGCAAAGACTCTGGTCAGCAGAGGGGATCAGTGGAAGAAGCTGTAGAAGAGTATGTTCCACGAAACCAAGACAATGTTGCCTGGAGCCTGGGGAATATATTCTGCCCCTGCTATAGAAATGTAGGTATTTGTTTGTCCCCAAAATGCAAAGAGACAATCTTGGTCTGCTCCAGACGGATTTCATGATGACCACTGCTGAGTCATGGGAAATGCCAAAATAAAAACTGAATACACCAATGGTGTAAATGCAGTGTGAAATGTGGAAGTGTGGTGTATTTTGTAGCCACCTTGTTTACTTACCAACTGACATAGCATTGCCTAATATATTCCAGACAGTTTGACTTTGGAGGACTCTCTCAAAAACTTGAAGCAAATCTTCAGTTTGTTGATTTGCTATGATGGATTTAGTATAGACCAAATACTTTGGATGTGAAGGAATGAAGTACAGGTAGTCCTCTACTTATGATCATTCATTCAGTTGACCGCTCGAAGGTAACAATGGTGCTGAACAAATGGTGGTTACATCCTCAGAGTTATGGCCGTCCCAGCACCCCCATGGTCACGTGATCACGATCTGGGCACTTGGCAACCCATTTGCACTTACGACCGGTTGCCAAGCACCCCACCATCACATGATTGCCATTTGCAACCAGAAAGTCAATGGGGAAGTGACAGGGAAGGTTGCAAGTTGCTGGGGTAAGTCTCCCCCACCTGCACACCCTCCCTAACCCCTCTATGCTCGTGCTGTGCTGGCCACTCACACACTCCCACGCACCCTCCCCAACCCTCACAGCACCTCTTGCACACTGCAAGATTTTGTCTATTAGGTGCGAGCTAATAAAGGAACTGAACTGTACTGGATTGCCTCACTGCTGTTCTTGGGCTGAACCTGACAGGTGAATACTTCTTTCAAAGATGCATTTATCACCACCCCAACCTAGCTCTACCTGTCACCTCCATGGAGACTTTCACCAACCAAGAGGGGCAGGGGTCCACACTACAAGTGGTTAGGCTGATACTACAAAGGACTGTTCATATTCATATTAATTCTTTTCATTTCAAGGGGATAGAGAGATGCAGGTTACCACATGCCTGCTTGACCTTTATTCACTGATTAAATCAGCCAGAAAGCCCTATTGTTAAGGGGTGGGTGGGTGATCAATGCGTGCTTAAGCATGGAATGCATTCCTTCTGCTTAAAGGAGGCAGTTACAATGCTTTTAATAAAACAAAAACAAAACCCTCCCTTGATCTGGCCAGTCTCAAATAGTCCATCCCTGGACTTCCAGAGGAAGAAATGGCAGACTGAAGACGCCTCCACAAAAAGCAGAGCTGATGACCACGGCAAAGAATGAAGAGCCAGTGAGTTGACCAGATCTTTGGAACCTCTCTGGACAAGGAGGATGGGAGATTACCCACACGCACTCTGAACAGCTGCTTCTCACAGAGAGACTGCAAGACAGCGGTCCCCAGCAAGTTTTGAGCCCTGGGAAACAACGGGAACGACCATCTTGCTCACAACCGCAGTCAGTGCCTTTTAAAGGACACTAGGTTTGCAGGGGGACACGGTGGCGCAGCGGCTTAATGACGCTGAAAGTTGCCGGCCAGAAATGGTCGATACTTCAGCAGTTCGAGCCCAGCACTTCACGTTAGTAGA